GCAGGTGACACCTTCAGGATCAGCACCTGGCTGTTTTTGGTCCCCAAACCCATGCTCTTTAGAGCCTTGCCCCTGCCACCCCGATGCCCCCCACTCACATCGTTGTAGAGCCTGAAGGCCTTCTTCAGGTAGCCGGCCCGCCCGCAGCCCCCAATCAGCACCGTGTAGTTGCACTCAAGGGGCTGGAGTCGCTCTCGCTTCAGCATCTGCTTCTCAAACAGGTCCAGGGCCTCCGCCAGCTGAGGAAGGAAGAAAAAAACAATGGAGGGGTCTCAGGGTGGCCTCAGAGATCCTCAGCAGAGGGAGTTTGAGATCAAGTGACTCTCCCTGAGCCCAAGACCAGACCTGCCCAGGAGCCAAACACCCACCCTGAGCCTCTGCCACCAGCCTCTTGGTCCCAGTGCTCTGTAACAGGGGAGCTTTGGGGCAGCCAAGAAGGAAAGCCCACTGGATTCCCACCACCTATGGAAGCTCTCAACCCCACTGCCATGGCTAACCTCCCTCCAGCTACAGGTTGAACTCCTTGAGAGCAGGAGCCAAAGATGTCTTGGCATTTTTGTGGGCCTATTGTGGAGCCAAGGCCTGGCACTCAGTAAGTCCTCAGCAAATGTTAATTCTGTGGATCTCAGAACCTATTTTGCCCTTGCTTCCTTGGTGACCCCATCCATAGTGCCTATCCCTTGGGTCTGAGCTAGATGGAGGGCTGGGTTCTAGTCATTTTGGTGGGCATGCTCAGAGCCACTGTACTGCATAGTCACAAGGGGCCATTCACAGCGACAGCATCCTGAGATGGTGCAGAATGGCAGCCCTGGGTGACTAGCTTTTTCCAATTGCAAACTCCCTCAGCCCGCAGCTGTTTTTGCCCCATACCCACCTCTAAACCATTCCCCTTTAAACCCTTGGTCACTCTTTTACTCCTTATTTTTTCATCCATTCATTCAACCAGTAGTTACTGAGTCCTACTATGTGCCAGGCAAGATCTATTTGCTGGGGATAACGCTGAGAAAAAGAGGGAGCTCCCTCATGGAGCTCATCTCTTAGTTTGGAAAGAAAGACACCAAATGAGAAAACTAAGAAAAATATCTAGTATGTCAAGTGGTGTTAGGGGCTATGAACATAAATGAAGCAATTAAGTACTAAAAGAAGGGTGTGGGAAATTCAGTTTTAGAAGCAACCGCCAAGCAGGGCCTCAGAAGGTGACAGGTGAACAAAGATCCGAAGGAGGTGAAAGGAGGAGCACCATCGCTACCTGAGAGAACAGCCAGTGCAAAGGCCCTGAGGCAGGAGTATGCCTGGGGGTTGGAGGACCAAAGAGGAGACTGGGATGGGTACAAGAGGGTAAGTGGGGGAATGAGGGTGGCAAGGTAAGAAGGGCGAGGAAGGGTAGTGGCAGCAGATCTTGCAGGCTTCATAAGCCATTGTAAAGACCGGCTTCTCTTTGTTTATTTCTCAACTTTCATTATGAAAAATTTCAAAAATATAAGTGGAGAGAACTGTGTTAATTACAATGACTATTAATGTTTGGCCAATCTTGTTTCATCTATCCCTTGCACTTCCCCACTAAACAGAATTTTTTTAAAGCAGAATCAGAAATCCTATCATTTCATTTATAAAATCTTCAACACATACCTCTAAGGGAATTTTAAACATAAATGAAATGTCATTATCAATTGACCTAAGAAAGTGAACATCTTCAATGTCTTTGAATACATTAGGAGTTTTGGAGGAAGAGTAACACTCTCTGCTTTCTGCTTTAATAGAACGGCTCTATGCTATGAACTGACATCTGGCCAGGAGGTGGCAAGAGCGGTGGGGAGCCCTATGACAAGTGCAATAGCTGAGGGGGCAAGGAGAAGGCTAGGCCTGGACATTCAGCAGTGGGGTAGTGAGAAGTAGTAGGATTGGCAACATTTTAAAGTTAGAGCTAGTGAGGGAAAGAGAAGAGTTAGGAATGATCTGAAGGCATTTGGCCTGGACAGATGGAATAATGGGGTTGCCGTTTAGTGAGATGAAGAAAGTGTATGGAAAACGAGGTTGGAAACAAAAATTTCAGGTCAATGTAAGTGTAAGGGAGATGGCGAACAGAGAGCTAGATACACAGACCTGGAGTCCAAAGGAAGTCTGGCCTGGAGATTCAAATATGAGAGCTACAGTGAGGAGGGGGCACTGAAAGCCAGGAGGCTGGCGGGTCACCTGGTATGGCACCCAGGGTGACAGAAGACAGAGAAGAGCTCTGAGCATCCCTACCTTAAGAGATTGAAAAAGGCAGGGTGGCCCCTCACGAAGTACTGATCTACCCGCGGTGTAGGAGCCAGAAGCAGCAGAATCCAAAATTTCCCTCACCTTTCCTTCCTTGATCAGGTGTTTGCACTGAAAGAAGTACCAGTAAGGGGTATTTCTCCGGCCCTGCCATGATTTTGGCTCCAGCTTCCTTTCCTCATCTTCTTCATCTTGTTCCCCGAGCCGCAGGTTATACAACTGGTCCGTCGATTTGCGGAACATTTTCCGGGAGGAGTATTTATCAGAAAGAGTCCCAAAGTTCTCTTCCTCTTCTTCCTCCTGGGTGGCCATGGGGCTGGGCTGGCTCAGGTCAGAGCTAAGGCTGCATGTGTTCTTCTGCCTCCTCTGGTTGAGGGGCAGCTGAGAGAGGGAGCTACAGAAGGCTGCAGGGTACCTAGTCAGCCCGATGGCCCTCAGCCATGCAGACCCCTCCCTACCTCCTGTCCTCCTGGCTCGGAGAGGGTCAAGGTGTTGCAGGATGGACAGTCCCAGGGGCCGGGGGCTGGAGAAGAGCCGGGCAAGTCTCACCAGGTCCATCTCTGGCTTTTACCTCCAGGGCCTGGCACAGGTCAGAAAAATAATGAAGTCAACTCATGTTCATAGTCCAAAAAGGCAAAAAGGAAACAGAGAAGTGGTTACAAGCATGAGCCCTGAGGTTAGAAAGCCTTAGGTTCCGACTTCAGCTCTGCCAAGCAATGATCCATGAGTCCCTGGGCACTCACTGCTCTGGCCTTGATCTCCTCGCATATAAACTGGGATTAACTATAATGTCACCCACACAGCACTGTTTGAATGAGGCAATGATTGAATGAGGTCTCAGATATACAGTGTACAGCACAGTGCTGGCCCAGTAGGCACTCAAAAGATATAAGCTAGTGATACTATCAAGCCATGATCTAATAGCACAGGTGCTGAAATGAGAGCTGAGTTTGAGACCTAACCAGAGTTATGACCATAACCATTACTTGACCTTTCTGTGCATCAATTTCTTCAGCTGTAAAATGAGGATAATACCAGTCGCCTCACCACAAGGTTATAAGGATTAAATGAGGTGTTTCAGCACAATGCCTGCATTTAATAGGTGTTCAAAAACTGCAGCTACTATCATTTATTATTAGGAAAAAACTTTGACATTGTGGGCCTCTGCCCAGGAAAGCTAATTCAAGCGCTTCTTATCTGCAAAATGTCGTGGACAAATGGGTTAGAACTGTGCTGTCAAATACAGTAGCCACTGGCCACATGTGGCTACAGAGCACATGAAACACAGAAATCACACTAGATTTCAAAGACTTCATACAAAAAAAAATACACAATTATTTTACATGTTGAAATCATAATATTTCAGATACATTGTGCTAAAGAAAATTTGACATTTATTTCACAATTTCTTTTTATTTAATGTGGCTACTTGAAAATTTTAAATTACAAATGTGCTCCCACTATATTGCGAATGGATAGTGCTAGCCAGAGGTCCTGCTCTTCATACATGAAACTCTTTCATAAAAAATATCAGAATAACCAGCATGAAAATATTTTAAGGTCTAGTTATATCAGACAACTGTTGGAAAGACCTCAGAGGCGATTGCAGTTTGAACAGATTAATACCTGAGGCCCAGGGAGGAGAATGACTTGCTGGGGGCCCTGCAGCAGGGTTGTGGGCGGGATAGGTCAGCTGTGGAGACGGCCTGGCTTTGATCCCCAGTCAAGGACAGCCTCTCCTGACCTGCACCCTTAGTGACACTAGTGCAGAGGACCTTTACCATTCCGTGTCTGGCAAGGCCTGCAACTCCAACAGAAACATAATGGGAGCACATATGTAATTTTAAATTTTCAAGTGGCCACTTTAAATAAAGTGTTTACCTACGTTCAGTGAAATACACAGGATTACAAAACAATACATCGTAAGAGGTATCAAATGTTTTAAAAACAAACTTATGTTATACTAGTATATGTGCTTTTTTTCATATATGCTAAACAAGATCATACTAAAAACAAGATCCTGTCACCATGTCAAAGAATGATGGGTGGAAATAACAGCTTGTAGTAGTTGCCGATACTTTATCATTTACACTCACTTGAAACCGCGACTTAGTACTGGGCACTGCTAACGCTACCCGTCGGTCACGGAAGGAAATGCTCAATTTCACAGAGGCAATAAAGGTGTAATCTTCTTCCTACCCAAGTTCATTAACCTGCCCAAGCTAATACTAACTCCTGTCTTAGAAATACAGCTTCTCTCTTCCCTCGGCGGACCCGCCCCTCCTCGGACGCTACCCCGGAGCCTCAAGCCAACCCGATACCTCCACACTGACCTTTAGAGCCTCGGTTTCCTCACTGCACGCCCCGGTTTAACCTTGGCTGCGGCATTCGCTGCCCCTCTGGCCTGTCCCCGCCCGGATCTCGGTCTCCTGTGAGGGTCAAATAGGAACCCACTCTGAGTCCAGCCAGCGAACGCGGGCCGGGTGCCCGCGCCGAACCGACCCGGGCCCGCTACTGCCTCGCCTCCCAGCGCTGTGAACCCAGCTCTCCTTCTCCTCCACCCTTCCCGAGCGCGCCCCAGCCGACCTCGTGCAGACGCAACCTGTTTCGCGAACTCCCCGAGCGTAGTTACGTTCGGCTGGCAGATAGCCGGGCCTAGCAGAGCGGCCCCTACTCCGCGCTCGATTGGCCGGGTCTGAGCAGGCGAAGGGCTGGCGCGGGCTCCGGGCGCTCCCGGCATACTTCGGGCGGCGGCGGCGGCGGCGGCGGCCAGGTTAGGCGAGGCGAGGCGGCGGAGTGCCGTGTACGGCAGGAGGTGGCGGGTAGAGGTGTGAGAGTGGCAAGGTACTGAGGAGTTGCCAGGCCAGTGGGGCCGCCGCCGCCGCCATGCAGGAAATCATCGCCAGCGTGGACCACATCAAGTTCGACTTGGAGATCGCGGTGGAGCAGCAGCTCGGGGCACAGCCGCTGCCCTTCCCCGGCATGGACAGTGAGCATGGGGCCGGGGTCGGCGGGCAAGGGCGCAACCGACTCAGACCCGGGAACCCTCTCCCTCGGTCCTGGGACTCGGACTCCGGAACCCACCTTCCTCTGATCTTTGATCCCCTGGGGCTAGCTTAAGACAGTCTTCTGGAGGGAAAGACCGTATCTGGCTGTTCAAGTAATTATAGAATGAAAGCGGGTATCCTGGGTTGGAAAACCTTCCTCCACCCCCAAACACTCGCCAACTACAGGAAAGTGCTGCATAACCCTCTTTCCCATATCCAGCTCCCACTGTGATCTGCCTCTTCTTACTTTCATCGAAACTGGGCCGTTGGGGGAGTCAGGCCAAGACAAGGTCCAGTTCTCCCTGAGAAGACCCCCAATTAGTCTTTCAAGCTCCATTCTTCTCCTGGGATTCACACTTCTGAGAGCCTATCCCTCACTTGTTTTATGGACTCCAAGTCTGGGTCTTTTGATCACACGCAGGCTTGTGCCTGAGCTCCCTTTTCAAACTTTTTCAAGTGCAAACGACTGACACCTCAAGGATTCCCAGTTCCACCACCTTAAGTCTGTCCTAGCAAAATCTGCCTGCTCCCCAGAAGTCAAGGAAGCCCGTGCAAGTTAGCAAGTAGAGACACGAAAATGGCCTTCAGAGATGCTGGGTCTTCAGCAATTCTGAAACACCTGCTGATAGAGAAAACTTTGTGAAACCGAAGGTTTATTCTGATAGCCATGGCCAGTGAATTACTGGGCTCATTGGAACAACTTATCCTGAGCCAACAGACTTCTACCATATGCAGTCAGCCTGTATTCTCTTGTGCCCTTCACCTGAACCAGCTGCATCTGTAGAAGCAAAAGACTGTTCCTTTAATAATTGTGGTGGTATTGGATATTAAGAGCAGTCCCTCCTCTGTGTCTTCAATTATGCTCTCCCCTCCCTAATAGCCTCTCTCTCTCTGGAGCCTGTTCCTTCTTAGAGCCCCCATTCACTTGTGGTTCCTGTGAGATTGTTTCCTCTCTCTGCCTCACTTTAGCGCTCTAGAAGGTCCAAGCACCAAGTAATTAATGTTGATGATTTTGTGCCCCATTCTTCTCCCACCCACTCCCAATTCCTTGAAAGCATCTTTATTATAGGAGGCTCTCAGAAAGCCCTGAATAATGACTGGTCTCAACATACATGCCTCATTTTGCAGGGAATGAATGAAATAAACAATTTTTATTTTTTTGCTTTGTCGAATTTTGCTTTTTTTTTTTTTTTTGCACCTATTTCCTATATCATGAACCCTTCATAGGGTTTCTTTTCCCTGCCTTCAGATGTCACTAGTAGCAATTGCACCTTGCTTTGTTTAACTCCCCTCCTTATCTCTCCTCTCTACAGAGTCAGGGGCTGCTGTCTGTGAATTCTTTTTGAAAGCTGCCTGTGGGAAAGGTAAGAGACCCCTGGTTCCTTTATGTTCCTCCTGGGGTGCCTTCCACCACTCTGCCCTTTAGCAGACTTGTAGGCCATCAGGTCTCTGGGTTACATTGCCTTCTCCACACTAACAGTGTCCCAAGGTGAAACTGTGGTTTGGATAGGCTAGGAACATGATGAGGTATTCTGTGTAAAACCTAAAACACTGGACTTAACCTGGCTCTGAATCTCACCTCACTTTCCTTGTGGCCACGAGCTGACCTTTATGACATGAACAGAAGCTACTAGCACTGAGATGTTCAGGAACTTTCTCAAGGTCAAAGAGTTAGTGAGTGGCTGAGCCCACCACAGTCTGCACAGGCTCACTGTCCTCAGTGTCTTCTCATCAAAAAAAAAACCCCCACAATAGTCTGTCTCATGGAGTCTTGTTCATACTAACCGGGCCCCCACAGAGGCTACATGAGTCGGACTATTCATATGGAAAAGTATCAGCTGGGAAGGACTTTACATACTATGGGTAGGTCTGACCATTTTTCTTTCTATAGGAAAGTTCACTTGGAAACTAAATTTTAATCACAAGCTTAAATAGGGGGCACGGAATTGGAGCAAAATTGGTTTTAATGGCTGATTTTAGCAAGTTTTGGTTCTATAGCTCAGTCATTTACCATACCAGCTAGCTAGTTGGAATATCATCGCTCCTAGTCTAATTCCCATGTCCTTGCTCAGTATTTCTGCCTTTCCGACCTGCCACCATCTGTTAGCAAACTGTCCTTAACACAAGCACTATGACGGTCTCTTTGTTAACTAATATAGTAGCCACTAGCCACATGTGGCTATTCAAATTTAAACCAATTAAAAGTAAATAAAATTAAAAATGCAGTTCCTCAATCATACTAGTCATATTTCAACTGTTCGATAGCCACGTGTGGCTACTGGTTGCCATATTGGACAGCATAAATATAGAACATTACCATCATTGCGGAAAGTTCTGTTGAACAGGGCTGGTCTAGATCTTTCCCAGTCACCACCTACTTCTGGTCAGGCCTTCCCAGTGGTCCCACCAGGACACTTTAGAATTGCAACCTTCCCAGAGTATGGCTTTGTCCTATCTGTATGGATGATTGCTCAGGTCCTGCTACAGAAGACAGGCCTCCCCCGTTTTCTCTGCAGTGCATTTCTTCAATTCTGTAGTTGATTGTCTTTCTTAGTTATTGGAGGCTACATAGGCAATTTTAACTAAAGATGGAGCTTGCCTGAAGTCTGGGCTTCTTCTGGTGGTCCTCTTTACCTTCTATCTTTTAGGGCTTTGTTTCCCAAACCCCATTTTTTCTTTAACTACCCCTACAATGTCTGCCATGTTTGTAGATCATGGAACTATTCTTTACTTAAATAAAGAAATAAGTTCACTTCTCCTCCACACCGCCATTGGGCTTGTCAAGTCTCCATCTTACAGTAAAATCTGTGAAATCATGATTTTTTAGTTAGATTTTACTGAAGCACATTAAAATTAAATATATAACTATTTAAACTTAAAATGTGTGCCCCTGTACTGCCTAAAATCACATAGCCTTCTGCCAGGGGCAACCAGCATGTTCTGGGACATTTTGCTTTCAGGTGCTTCAGGGAGGTATGGGGAGAAGGCACCTTAGCTCCCCAAGGCCCAGTGCCCCTGGGCTCAGGGCCACATCTCTCTTTTCCTCCACAGGGGGCATGTGCCCATTTCGCCACATTAGTGGCGAGAAGACAGTGGTGTGCAAACACTGGCTGCGGGGGCTGTGCAAGAAGGGAGACCAGTGTGAGTTCCTGCACGAGTATGACATGACCAAGATGCCTGAGTGCTACTTCTACTCGAAGTTTGGTAAGGCAGTTCTGTGAGGTGTGTGGCAAGGCCCCTCCCTCCACCCGAAACCCCCCCTCATCAGTAGCCCTGGGGAGGCTCCACCAAGAACCAAGACCCAGAGGAGTTAAGCAGCTGCTCAGGCACCCACAGTATCTACCATCTCCCATCTTTCCAGCTTCACATGAGAACCTTAGGCATTGCCCTCCAACCTCAACTGGCCCATTAGTCATAGGAAGTTTTGATTATCTAATAATCCCTACATCTTTGTAGTGTTCTGTTTTTTGAGCACTTTCAGTTCCATTGGGAATTTGAGACTAATGAGGGTCTCCTGGTGGACGGGTGAGCAGTGCAGCTGGCTGGAAACCTTGTTTCTGCTCAAGTCAACCTCCCTTAAATCAGCTTCTTACTGTGTGACAACTGAATGCCCCCCGAGCCAGAGTTTGTTTTCTTCTCTCTGGGCACGTGATCCCATGTAGCAGTTTGTCTGTCCGAAATATCCCTTAAGAATAGCAAGTTTGGAGGGATTACATTCTGGTGGCAAAGAGCCCTGCTCTTCACCTTGAAACTGAGATTGCCTTGATCCCTGCTTAGGGAACACATGGCCTAAGCGGTCCTGAGTGAACTGCATGGGGAACTGGGGCTGGCCTGGGGCTCAGCCAAGCTCTTGTGCTCTCTGACAGAACTAGAACCTCCTGGCTCTCTGCCCTGAGCATTGATGAGGAAAAGGGCTTGTTGGTCAAGATGAGGGCTAGCTCTGGCCTCAGGACTGCTGGCCCCAGGCCCTGTGCAGAGGCCCAGTGGGAGGCTGGAAGCCTGCTGTACCCTTTGTGGTCGGCTGAGGAGCGCTAGACCTGCTGCATGCTTTCAAAGCAGTATTGTCAGGGGAGACGCTAATTATTTCAGCAGCCCAACAGGCTTGGCCTGCTGGCTTATTAATTACAATTGTGGTTCTTTTTTTAAAAGGCAGCACAAGCTGAAGTCAAAGCACAGGCAGACAGAAATGGGACTCAGGCTTCCCAGCCCACAGCCCCCACCCCACCTCCCCTTCCCAGCCACACTGGAACCAACATGGAAGGAAGCAGCAGCTCCTCCATGGGAGCCTTCTCACGTCTGGCCCCAAAGGCAGAAGCCAGCCCTCACGGGCAGATTCTTAAAGGTGCCTCCACAGGCTGGCCTGGGTTCCCTGTTTCTCTGCCAATGATCCTCGGCCCAGCACCACCACCCCCGCCAAGTCCCCCCGCCTTTGTGGCAAATCCCTGCCCACCATTCCCCTGAAGACCCTCACCTGGTGCAGATGTACTGCCTGCAGCACCTTTCACCTGTGACATGGTGCAAGGCCCTTCTAGGCCCTGAAGAGACAGTGGTGAAAAAGGCCTGTTCCCTACTCCATGGTGTTTTTGCCCTAGTAGCCCAAGGAAAGAAGCAGCGTTATGCCATTGAGACAGATAGAGGAGAGAACTGTGCACAATAAGTGCTCTGAGGAAATAAACAGTGAGGGAACCACCTGAGGAATTTCCTTTAGGTAGAGTGACTGGGAAGGCCTTTCTGAGGAAGTGAGACCTGAGCTGGGATCTGAACACTAAGAAGGGGAGAGTCCTGGCAGAGGACTGTCTTAGAACAGCTAGGGGGACAGTGTGGCTAGAGAGGAGGCGGCGGCTGGGGAGGGGCGGGCCAAACCACATGGGGACTTGTGGGTCTGGGAAGGAGCTTGTATTTTCCCAGACTGGCCATCCTTTCATGGGTGACATAGATTGGGAAGAAAGGACAAGCATGGAGTTGGCTGAACCATAGCTGGGTAAAAGATGCTGGTGGCAGCTAGGCCGATTGCTCCTGAGACAGCTCCTCTCTTTAAGGCTTCATTGCCTTCTACCACAGGGACCCAGCTTCAATTTCCAAATCTTCCCTACTTTTGTCCTAAAAGGTAGACTCCTCAGATTTTTCCCCCATCCTGGCTAGTGCATGTGAAAAGCTGATCAGAGAACAGTAATTTCCTGGCCTCAACGGGTACATTTGCCTATCTGGGCACACCACAGTACCGGGGGCAGCCTCTTTGGGTAAGGGATGGCACCGTGAGCTATTTGATGATATAAGTGTATACCCTGTGCCCACCTCTGTTAATGTCATTGACCCTTGTGGCATAATGGACACATATGAGGGAAGGACCTTCACAGCGCACGTACAGGTCAGGAAACCAAGGCTCTGAGGCACTCTCCTGAGTCTCAGGGTTTGCCAAGCTGGGACCGGACACCAGAAGCACCTGGCCCTCTTTGCCACACAGTGGGCCCTGGCCTTGGGAGAAACCGAGGTGGGTCTAGGTCCAGCTCTCCCAGAGCTGCCCCAGGTGGATACATATCTGTATTTCCCTGCAGGAGAGTGCAGCAACAAGGAGTGCCCCTTTCTGCACATCGACCCTGAGTCCAAGATCAAGGACTGCCCTTGGTACGACCGTGGCTTTTGCAAGCATGGTAGGTGTCAGAGTGGCTGGACCCCCTGCCAAGAGACCAGTCCTCTTTTCTATTGCTCATGTGACCCTCTACCTGTCCTGCCTATTCCAACAAAATATGGTGTTAGGCATTGGGGGCTAGTGAGGCTTTTTTACACTCTCAGCTCACTTGAACCTCCCGGAGCCCCTGTGTGGACCGCTTTTTCAGTAAGGAAACTAGTATTTTAGAGGTTGTGTATCCTGTCCAGTGTCCCCTGTGAATGAGAGGCAAAGCCAGCATTTGAAGCTCTGCTTATGCTCTCTGTACCCTACACGGTGGTCTGGGCAGGGCTCTGACTGTCAGAGGGGCACGAGGGTATCCCCTGCAGAGGGAATGTCTGAGTGACCTGATGCTTGACTCCACAGGTCCCCTGTGTAGGCACCGGCACACGCGGAGAGTTATCTGTGTGAATTACCTCGTGGGATTCTGCCCAGAGGGGCCCTCGTGTAAATTCATGCAGTGAGTAGTCATCCCCTGTTCCCCCAACTCCCACACTGTTCTTGTGCTGTCCTGCACATCTTTCCTGAGCTCAGTTGGGCTTTGTCACTGAGTGGTGTTAGCACAGTGCCTGGGGCAGGGGCGGGAGGTTGGGGAGGGACCCTTGCTGCTTCCTGAGCCCACAGGTGGCCCTGCCTAGACCAACATGTAACCTCTATTGAGCACAGCCATGAGGGAATCTGATGAAAGCTATGGGCTCTGTGCTCCAAAAGAATTCAAGCACATATGGCTTTGCATATTAGTTAGGGCCTTCAGGTTAAGAACCTGTGCTCTAAAGGAAGGGAACTATAAAGTGTCAGGATCTCCGGTATGGAGATACTGAGCTTAGGGTTTCACATACACTAGTTCATGTAACTCTCACAAGTGTGAAAGAGAATGTCCTATTTCACACATAAGAGCACTGATGCCACTCAGCCACTAGCCAGAGTTGCATGGTGGTAGGGGGTAATGCCTGCTCAAAGGCAGGTCTGCAAGTCTCCGAAGCCAAGTCCTTGCCCAGCGGGTGCAGTGTTCCACTCCTGGGCCTCAGTGCACCTGTCACTTTGGGTGGTTGAGGGGATACAGAGTAGTCTCCCCCTACCTTGCTGCTTCCTTCTGCACTGCCAGCACCTGTACAGGAGCAGTGTCCTGGTAGCTGCCACATGGTGGGCAGGTGGTCTGTGCTCTTGACTTGGTCCCACTCCCTAGATGAGAGCCCAGGAGCCCACAGGTGGCCCAGGGGTTTCTGCTTGTGGGGCAGGCAGGCAGGCCTGTCCCCCAGGGAGTCTCTGTTGTCAGAGAAAGTTAGACCCTGCAGGGGAGAGTATGTATTAGAAGGGGTTTCCATGCTCACAGCCCCTCATGGAGCAAGCTTGTGACCTCTGACAATACCAACTGCTGTTTCTCTCATTTCTCTGAGCAGCACTTTCCCCAGGTCTCAGCCAGGTATAAGCAGAGCTGGGTCTGGGCCCAGGCTTGTCAGCTCTGTTCTTCCTGCTGTCCTGTGGCCTCAGGGGCAGAGCTGAGTCCAGGCGGTTTGTGTTCTGTGCTTCAGTTGAGAATGACCGTGATAGCCCCTTGGCCAGAATTTGAGAACACTGCCTGACCTAGCTCCTCTTTCATCTCTTCTCTTTTTTTCTCATCCCCTCTGGCTGTCGGGTGACCAGCCCTCGATTTGAACTGCCAATGGGAACCACCGAGCAGCCCCCACTGCCGCAGCAGACACAGCCTCCGACAAAGGTACCGTGTCCTGGCCCCGCCTAGGCCCTGTGGCACTGCCAGCCCTGGCAGTACCCTTGCAGCAGAGAACTTGGTGCCTGCATCTATGCACGATCTGTCATAGACCCAGCTGGAAACTTTGTGAGAGGAAGGGATAGGACAGGAGGGGAGTCTCTCTGAATTCCAGCAGAAAATTCAGGGAGCAAAGCAGTTTGCATCTGCCTCTAGAGATGGAGGGCTGTCTGCTGGACCTGAACACCCACTTGGTTTCTCTTCCCTTGCCTGGCAAGTGCCTCGGCGGCTCAGCAGCACCCTCCTTGAGCCTATCTCGGAAGCCAGAGTGGAAGGCAGCATGAGCGCACCACATGTCAACCGCTCTTGTCGTATAGGGAGGGGCTTGCCTAAGGTACCGCAGCTGGGCAGGAGCAGATCTGGAAGCAGAACCAAGACTGGCAAGTTCTCTAGCCAGTGCTGTGATCCTTCTGTGTGGATGTTCCCAGCTGCAGGGAAGGCTGGGAGTAGATGGCTGAAGGCCCAGCTGACTCTAGTTGTCTAGACAAGACGGGGTCCTACAGCCCAGCTGATTTCCTCTCAAGCAGGAGGAAAGAGGGAAATGCCAAGGACAAATGGGAATCTGCAGCAGCCTCCCCAAAACCAAGGGCACCCTGGGTTTGGTTACTGGAGTGGGGGTGGGGGGTGGGAGCCCAGAGGAAGTGCTGGCCAATGAGCTAGGCAGGGTCTCGACAGGCTAAGTAAACCCACCTGCCAATCTTGAGCCTTCTCTCTTACCTGGCTGGACTCTGAGCCTGTTGCCAAAGCCCCGCCAGGTCCTCCTTAGTGCTGGAGGCTGAGCAGCGAGAAGAAATGTCTGCACTTGTTATACTGACCCCCGCTCTCAAGAGGTTATGGGGCAGACCGGATAGGATTCCTCATCGGCAACGCTGGGAATCCCTTGGTGTGGGTGCAGCCTTGACAACCTGGGTGTTTCTGTTTCTGGGTACCTGCACTTGTGAAGGCCAGAGCCAGAAACCACTTGGTTGGGAGGTGGCCTTGCTGTCCAGTCCCCACCCCAGCAGCCCCCGTCACCCTTGCTCACATGACTCCCTAGCGGAGGGCCCTCTCAGCCCCTAGACCACAGGTCAGCGTGTCAGCCTCCAACTGTTTTTCTGTGACTGTCGCTCGCCGTGTAGGCTGCTAAACATCTGGCTGAACCAAGCGTTCATCCTGACCTGAAGCTAGAACCTCAGAAACAAAAGTAAGGCCTGCTCATGCCCCCGCCCCACTGCCCCAGAGACCTCCTCGTCTCTTTGATGTTTTGTTTTCTACTTTTATTTTTCGTTTCTGTGTGTCTGCATGGTATTTTTCGGGCAGCAGCTCCTGCCATCATCACCAGATGTTTCTTTTCTGCCTGCTCTCCCGAGCGGGGCCACTGCAGAAGCTGGTCATGCGGGAGCAGTCCCGCCCTCTTTTTTTCCTGTCCCCATTGGTAGTCCGCGTGCACGTGTTTTCCGCAGTAAAACCGTGTTGTGTAACTCTTTCCAGCAAAGTAACAATCCGCCATTACAAAGGTCGTCCTCCTTGATCCAGTTAACGAGTCAGAACTCTTCTCCCAATCAGCAGAGAGCCCCACAGGTCATCGGGGTCATGCAGAGTCAAAACAGCAGTGCAGGCAACCGGGGACCCCGGCCATTGGAGCAGGTCACCTGTTACAAGGTGAGTCTTGGGGTTGGAGGGGGGATAGGGGTGTTCACAGTCAGTAGCCATTCCCTCACTCCCCAAATAGTTCATTTTGTGAAATGAAAAATCTTTGTTTTTGCTGATTGTAAAAGTAGGCCACTGGTGGGCTAGAGGCCATCCAACTTTCTTCCACACTAAGGCCAGGTGAACAATTAAACACACACTGTTCAATGAATGGAGTGTACTTGCAAAAGGAAGGACATCTCTCAGAGGCCAGAAACAAAGTAGAAGCGGGAATCCAGGCATGAGAGTGAGCCCTGGAGCCTCTGGTTGTCCTCAGATCCTGTGTGAGCATACTCAGTGGAATGTTTCAAAGCTCTAGACCCACACAGAGAAATCAGAATACCCTTCTCACCCCCTACATACACACAGACATAAAATAGGACACTCAGTGAAAGAGTAAACTTCTTAAAACCCCACTAGAAGACTTGTCATTCTTGGCTCTGGATGGAAAGAGTTGGGGGGAATCCCTTGAGAATTCATAGTCACTGGTGAGAGCTAAAAAGCTAGTTTTCTAACCTAAAGTAGTCCCAGATTGGCTCCTGGCACCTGGCTCTTTGGGGAATTTATTCTCAACCCAGGTCACACAGAATTTGCACAGCTAGAGTTCCGAAAAATGAGTGCACAATTAAAAATCACAAAGTGTAGGAGGAAAAAACCGTGTGAGTCAGTAGAAACAACCAATAATTGAACTAGACTTCAAAAACTTCAGACTGGGATTTGTTAGAAGGAATACAAAGTGCTTTTTGAAAGAACTTATTGATAACAAAGACGTGTTTAAGAATCAAAGGAAGTGTTGTCCCTTATCCCCACCTTTTCTAAAATAGCCATTTTACCCAGTATATTCTGTTCTCATGTTTTTTTAGTTTTGTTATTCCTTTATACTCCAAAACCCCTGATGGGGACCCCACCAGGAATCCCTGCACCCCACTTGGAGAGCTGCCCTTCTCAATTTGTTTTCACACAAGCACCAGTATAGTATGTATTTTAATATAAATGGAGCAGGCCCTAGTATGTACAATGTTCTATACTCTTTTCTTTGTTTCTTCACAATATATTGTATTGTAGATCTATATCAGTATATGTAAATCTTATCTTTTTCAGTGACTGTATAATATAACCATAATTTATTCTACCAGTTTTCTGTTGGTAGACAATTATAATTTTTGCAGCTAAAAACAGTGCTGAGTCTGATACTTAGACATTTGTGAGCTCTTGTCTGATGATGTCAGGAGCATTCATGTCTGCAAGTAGAAGGTCCAGGTCAAAAGGCATATATTTAAAATGTTCATAGAAAAGCCCACTCACTGGGTATTCCTCAAGGCCATCAGACACTCACTGAGCACATGCTCTGTGCCAGCTCTGCTGAGGAGACAAAGACTGCTGTTCCTGGGGATGGGTTTTTGTTCTCAGGGAAGGGGCAAGGCCAGTGCCCAAAGACACTGAAGTTAAAAGTGCACATGGATTCAGGGAAGGCCTCAGATTTCTTAGCCTGAGCCAAAACAGGTGAGAATACAGAGGAGGATGTGAAGGTGAGGTGAATGGGGGCTCTTGCCCAATGCAGAGCAGCTTCTGGCCAGTCCTCAAAAACTTAGCTGCCCTGAAGCAGTAGAGCTGTCATCTTGCCTCCCTGTAGGACTCTTCAGCAGGGCTTCTGTGAAGCAAGATCTCCTAAGTCCTTGAACCTTAGAAAGATGGGGTAGGGACCTGCTAACCTCTTCTTACCACAGGCTTTAGAGTTAATATTAAAGATGCCATGTGGGAATCCTGGATTACCCAAAATCAGCTGTGGAAGCTGATAGACACACTAAGTGCTATGAATGAGCCCATACAGTCCCTCCCTCTGGTCTCTGGTCATCACATCAGCCGAAGGACTAACAGGCAGCCACATAGGCCACTGTACCACACAGGTCAAATGTACAGACAAGAAAGACTTAAAAACATGAGGATGACATGCTCGGAAGTAGAGCAGCCAAGAATTCTGGGTAGTAGTGATGACCAAGTAGAGCCCCACAGTCCAAGCTGAGGGAGGGACTAGGAAGGCGCTGGATGCCAGGTTTGTGCGGAGTGGGTGCCCCTCCCGTCTCTGGACCCCTTCCTTCCTTGTTTGGTGCTTGAGGCTGCCATTCACTTCCCGTCTTAGAATTCTGCTTTTGAGGAACAAGAGTGAATGAAGGGAAGTTTTAAGGCAGGGACTGGATCATTAGAGCTGGGACAAATCAGGGTCACTGCTAGATTTTTTGAGGTGATTTTACCAGGTCTGTTCACCCAGTTCTAATCATTGTCCCATCTCTGATCCTGACTGGAACCTGTCTCCATGGGTAGCTTAGGCAAATGTGCAAGAACTAAGAGGGAAAATTTGGGTGCAGCCCACACTCAGTGTCCACAGCAGTGAATCCCTCCCTGCATTGAGGGAGGAGCCAGGTGCCTTCTCTCTCCTTGTTCCTTCCCATCTCCAGGGAGTCAAAGATCGGTGCCTCAGAGGTAAGTGTCTGGTCAGCCATGCAGAAGGGCTTGATTCCTGGACAGGTAGGGGAGCTCTGGAGCCATGGGCCTCTCTTCATCCTGCCACCCGCCATGAGAACCTTTCTTTGCGCGGGCCCCATGTGCCCAGCTGGGTGAAGGAGCTCCCTACCGTGTGCTCTCAGATCCCCTGGCTGTAGGGGTCTCTCTGTTCCACTTGATGAGTTGTTGGTTGCAGTTTGTGTCATGTACCTTCTATAGTTCCTTTCCCCTTGTATTTGAATGAAAATCTGTACCACTGAGAGTTTGAGTCCCCATTCCCAACCTGGTATTTGGTGGGTGCTGCCTTACATGAAAACTGCATTTGAAAACTTTTTTGTTTTCTTCCCTTACTGCTATTTCCAGTGTGGTGAAAAAGGACACTACGCCAACAGATGCACCAAAGGGCACTTGGCCTTTCTCAGTGGACAGTGACAGCAGCTGGAGACAGCTCAGAACAGCCCAAGGGACCCCGTTGTGGGGACCACTCTGGGCCACCCTTGGGAGTGTGCATTTAACTGTTCAATGCCAGTGTTAGTGCAACTCTGGCTGAAGCTGGCAGGCAAGCACACTGGGGTTTTTCAATGTAAGGGGCTATGTCTGTCAGTTCCCCTATCATCTTGCTGTAATTTTTTTTTTTTTAAGGGGGACATGTGCTCCATTTCTGTCCCTCAAGTCAGCATCATGTTTGTCTAGGCATCAACACTTCCTGTGTGGGACTTCCTGAACACCGCCCTCTGGAAAGGGGAGGAAGTTGCCCGGAAGAGCTTGTGCTAAGCCGTTCTGTATGAAAGACGGCCCTTCCCCTCAGTCCTCATTAAACACCAGTTCTTGGTGACCCCAGGGACAGGTGGATCATTAAAACTGCAGCTAGGTCATGCCTGCTTCCTCCATGTCCTGCTGAGTTTAGAAGCTGTGCCTATCAATGTGATTTGAACAAGGCAGCTCTTCAGGGCAAACTCAAGTGGACTTGTTGCCTCAGCTTGGTCCTCTTCCAAGCAATTGAGAGGAGAGGTGCAGGGCTCTCAAGTGTGAGGGTCTTTTTCCTCTGGGCCTATTTTCTTGGGGCACATGCTTGACAGTGTTTAAGGTATACCTTAAACTGGAGCTGCAGACAACCCTTTAAATAGATGACGCAGTCCACCTTTGCACCTACCTCCAGCCCCATCAAGTGTCTGTGCTGTCACCTGGACACCTTTGGCCTACAGAGACTACCCTAAGCCTGGAAATGTGAAACCACCTGGAACCTGCTGGGCAAGGGGGCCTATCCAAGTTCAATTGTAAAAACAATTTTTATGACGTTGATTAAAGCTTGTTTTTTAAGCTGTGTCTCATTACTTAAGACACTCCATGCCAAAGAAAGGATCTTGCTAGTGGCTGCACTAGCTGCCTGGCACAAAGCTTTGACACTGGTGCCTGCTTGTCCCCCTTCAACAAATGGATCTCCAGAAGGGAAGCGATGCTGCCAGTGAAAGGTCTTTGTACTGGCAGCTAGAAAAGTCTAGAAGCTTCGATTTTGTAACAGCCACCTGGCAGGTCCCATTTCATCTCAAATGTTGGATGATATTTATTCAAATTTGGGTCTTGGAGATACTTAGCCCCCAGCATCTCACCCTCTTCTACTGTGGTTTATTTGCTGACCATATACCCATGAAGAAACCAGTTATGGTTCATGTCATTTTGCCGAAGACCTTTGATGAAGGTAGATAAGAGCACTGGATGCAGGGCTGTCCTACCTTTTGGCATCTGGGCCACACATTAAATACACAAACACTAAAAAAACTGATGAGCAAAAAAGTTTCAAGTACATTTACAATTGTGTGTTGGGCTGTATTCATAGCCATGCTGGACTGAGGGTTGGACACCCCTGGATAGAGCTTTCAGGGCCTGTGCTTTTCCTCCCCTAGATCATCACACTGAGCTTCCTTCAGGCATATACTCCTGGGTAATGTAGAATATGGTGGGAAAGGCATTCGTGTAAGTCAGGTTCTGCGTTATACAGTAAATGTGCCAGGTGACAAAAAGCCAAAAGTGCTCAGGACACTCAAGGCAAAGAGCAGGGAAACACTAGAAAGTATAGTGCTAAGTGACACCCCCACACACTGGGCTGACAAGTGATGTAGGTGCCCAGGGCTAGCAGTTCCCCTTTGGAAGTGGTAAAGCTATCTTATCCCACTCAATGCAAAGCGACCTCCTGAAGTGCAGGGAAATGGCCAAACCAGTGAAGCAGCCCAGTACCAGCCATCTTTTTATTAGGTGTTAATTACAATATGAAAGGATTCAGAGGTGCTGTGCAAAGATAATGGTCAGGAATCCACACTGGGCCCTCTTCAGTGGTACTTGCGTCGCCGCTCGTGTTCTGAAGTTAGAAAGGCAGAATGGTAAGTTTCTTAAAATGTGCAGTGAAAACACATGATGGGAAGAAAACATCAGGCTAAGATCACATAAAGCCACCCTAAGAATTCCTTTCAGGAAAAGACTCCAAACCCAATACTGACATGGGGACAAGAAGGCACCTCAGGTGCTAATCTGGCCCCTGGCCAGCCTCTTCCCAAAAGGAATACCCACTCAAACAGCCATAAACCCAATTATGGCCAGCAGTGACACTCTGGCACCACCCACTGGACAAGTTCCTCCTGGGTCTCGACCAGAAATGGCTCCACTTTTCCAGAGCACTGCACTGACAAGACTATACCGCTTCTTTCCCTCTTTGCATGGGCTGCTAAGAAAATGAGGCCAAATTTTCCATTAGCCTTTGGCAGAGCCTTCAATATCTTAGAATGCTTCCTAAGTATTACCTTTACCCTACCTTCACCTTATTTTTTCCTGTGTATGTTCTCTTTGCCACAATTTTCTCAAAATAATATCCTAAATACTATATTCTGACAAGTCCCTCCACTTCTCTGCTGTCAGTAAAATGATGGACTTCTAAATCTGACAGTGAACCAATGCCACCCTCTCATGAGAAACCCCAAAGACAAGGTACCCAAGAGCCACTTACTGAGTTCCTTGTAAGAACGGCAGTAGTTAAAAAGCACGTAAGCTGCCAACACCATAGAAACGCCAGCAACATTCCCTTTCTTCACATTGACATACTTGTTGTAATACCGGTAGTAACCTGCAAATGAAGAGAAGGTCACTGTCCTCTGCTGTTCATGTTTCACATAGTGTGTAAAGCCAAGTCTGGTAAATTCAGACACCCAGTCCTGCTCTGGCTCTTTAAGCCAGTGACACTACATTCACAGATTGATAATGGGAAAAGCACAAATGCCCCAGAGAGTTTTAGGTCCCCATAAGCCCAGGAGATGCTCCATCTAGGCTCACCTTAATTCTACCCTTTGGCCTCAATTTGTAGACCTGGCTCAGCCTGCCAGCCTTTGATCCTACCTCACCCTCACCTCCAGCCTGGGAAAAGTTGAGAGGGAGAACATCAGGCTAAAATCACCTAAGCCATCCCGGAATCGTTGAGGAAATGATCCAGAACCTTCCTTTGTGTCAGCAGCTTACCCTAAATCTGAATGTGAATCCAAACCTCAATAAGGGCCACTTGGGGAAGTGGAAGGCTTTTATGCATTTCTCTTTATTAGGTGAGCCCACCAGTGAGGAAACAGTATCTGCCCCCTTGGCTCATGACCTAGTAGACAGAAAAAGAATGAAATGGTCATAGAAGGCCATAATTTACAATAGTGAGGGATGCCCTGAAGGAGCACTGCAGGGAGCTGTGGGCATTAACAGGCCACTTTCACCTCCACTGAGTCAGGGACTACTGCAACTAAGTGTGGGGAAAAGGCAGAGTATTCTAATCTGAGGACACTCAGGGCAGGAAGATGGCACACAAAAGAGAGCCACAGGGAGGCCAGAATTAGAAAGAAAACACAGTAGGGAAGCCCCTGAGGAGGATGGAGACCATGCAGGCCCCCATGGGAGGGTGTGGGTCTTTACTCTTAGAACATGACATGAGTTCCACAGGACTGATCTGACTAGCCATGTACTACAAGATACAAAGACTTGATGGGCAGATCATTTCAAATATTCATTGTAGAAGCTGTGCCTGGCAGGAAGAGCATTATACTTTAGACTGATATCCACTATGCTTCACTCATTTTCCTCCTAAAGAAGTCTCATGATTGTGAAAGTGCTCATAGACATTTCTCGAAGATGAAGGCAATACCAATTCCAAGCAACAGAAAACATTTTCTTGGCTCAAGTATCTCAGAGCCTTTTTTTTTTTTTTTAAGATTTTATTTACTTATTTTTAGAGGGGAAGGGAGGGAGAAAGAGAGGGAGAGAAACATCAATGTGGAGTTGCCTCTCACATGCCCCCTACTGGAGACCTGGCCTGCAACCCAGGCATGTGCTCTGACTGGGAATCCAACCTGCAACCCTTTGGTTCACAGGTCGGTACTCAATCCACTGAGCAACAGCAGCCAGAGCTCAGAGACAGTCTTTGACAGGACCAAACATGGAAATTCAAGAGCTAACAATCTCTCCCTGTCCTCTATCTATAAACTGGTCTGAGACAAGGCCTTTACTCCCCAAATCAATTCATAGGAAAAAGAAACCTCAATAACCAGAGATTTGCTTTTGTTTACACATATCCATAAGGCTCTAACCTCTTTGAAATGCTCCGGCAATGCCTTTAGGGGTGAAATCCCGCATCAGTATCCAGCTTGGCAGCTCCCCTAGTTTGACATCCATGAGTCTCTTCTCCTTCAATGGTACTGATTAGGAAAAGCAAAAAATAAATAAACACACACTGAAAAATCTCCCAATAACACAAATAGCATCCTTTTATGTCACTCATTTCAACCATTCAATAAAGAGGCATTCAATAACATCACGACATAGAGGCTGGACATAATATGAATAACTATGTCACACAAAATTCACTTATTTTTTTTTAAATCCTCACCTGAGGACATTTTTTATAGCTTTTAGAGAGAAAGGTGGTGGCGGGGAGGGAGCGGGGTACATGAACTGGTTGCCTCTCACACATACCTCAACTAGGGGCTCAAACTTGCAACTTTTCAGTGTACTGGACAACACTCCAACTGAGCCAGCCCAGCTAGGACCAAATTCACTATTTTAATCCAGAGTCTGTATAATGGCAGAATGCTGTACTGACAGATTAGTTAAAAACAAGATTTTTTTTTCAAGATTTTATTTATTTATTTTTAGAAAGAGGGGAAGGGAGAAACAGGAGAGAAACATTGATGTGTGAGAGAAACAGGTTGCCTCTTGCATACCCCCAACTTGGGACCTGGCCCACAACCCAGGCATGTGCCTGGCCAGGAATTGAACCAGCGACCTTTCAGTTCGCAGGCCAGCACACAATCCACTGAGCCACACCAGCCAAGGCTAAAAACAGGGTTTTAATTATAAGCTTGCTGAAAATAACTATGTAAAAGGAGAACTAAGCACTATGAGAAAGAAGGGAATAAAGTAGAGGACAAAATAGATTACTGCAAAACTAGTATTAACATTACATGTATTAGCTCATTTAATCTTTGAAGCAAGTAGTTGATGCCTTTATTTTACGGGGGCAGAGGGGGAGTGGCTCACAGAAGTTGGTCAACTTGGCCAAAGTCACAGAGCACACAGCCAGTGGAGGCAGGACTCAACCTCAGGTCTGGTCCTGATGATACTGAGGCCAATCTGATTTCTACCTCAAGAATCCTGCCTGCGACCAGAGATGTCAAATTACAGTAAAAACTACTCCAAGTGATCCAATAGGCCCCAGACTATATTTGGATGAGAGTCTGATGACTGGAGAAGAAGGGCTCCTAGCTGAGGCCATACTGTATTCATCTCTGTCCTTAAGAGTAAAAAGCAAGAGTGTGGGGAGGGGGCGGGACATGCAGAGCAGTGAGTGTCCAGATGCTCATGAGGGAATGGTCTCCCTTCCCCTGTCTATCCCCAGAGGGCAACTTTAAAAAGCTGCTTAGTAGGTGTCCTCTTCAGAGCCAGGGATCAAGGACTAAAGTCCCTTCTTAAAGATGACCAGCCACAGGAGGATCCAGACTAAATCACTCCAAGATTTCTTTTCCATTTTGGAGAACCAAGGAAAGACTAACGCTCCCTAAAGACCAGGCTCAAGAGTCCACTAAGTGGAATCCCACAGGTTTCCTGACATCTCCCAACCCTTAATTAAGGGCAAGGACTGTCAGGCCATAAAGAGAAATGCAAGGCTTAACAGCAACTTCTAATCTGCTACCGATGGTCTGGAGAACCAGACCCTTGGCACTGATGAACCAGACTGAGTGCCTACCACAGCAGGCCGCAAGTGACAGGTGGAGGCATAATCCTATGACTTGTATACATTGTTTAAGGGTCATGGGTTAGGCTGTCTGTCCCAAACAAACTGGCTCAACCTTCCACCTAGAATGAGCCAACAAACATGGAGCACCTACTATATGCCAGGTAGCAAGCACACCAAGCACTGTGGACACAGCACTGACCGCAGATGAGAACCTTGCTTTCAGGAGCCAACATTCTATCAGGGAAGACAACATATCCACTCATCTTCTTGGCCTCACCACACTTGAGCCAAAATCCTTTGTTTCTCATATGCAACAGAATTAATTCCACCTGAGTGCCCCACATTCCTCACCAGATTATCTCAACTTAAATGGTATCTCCTAAAAGGCCTCCTTCCCTCCCCTCCTTGCCTTAAGTTCCTTTCTATGTAATTTGTGAGCTCATTTCTTTTTCTGTTAAATGGTTTATTCCATGGATTGAATGAGAATCTATATAAAAGCACTTGGAACAGTGCTCAAGAATTGTAAACTGTTATTATTACTATTGAAATTTCAGAAGGTTTACGTGAAACTTTTTTTTGTTTTAAAGGATAGGAAAAAAGAATGGTATGAGGCAGGGGAAAGCACATAAACCATACTTTAGGACATTCCAACCACATAGGCCTTCAGGGATTAATCTCACCCTTTAGTCCTTTTACGAACAGAAAACTGTAATTAGTAATATTTTTGAAATGTCAAATAATCTCAAATGAATTTTAAGATATGTTCCAAATTTCTATTGGAGAGTTTAGTGTCAAATGATATTAAGCTCAACACCAAACAATGTCTTCCGAAAATGACCTATACTACCTTTCTCTGTCACCTTGCCTGTGCCATTTTTTTTTTTTTTTTTTTTTTTTTTTTGCACTTGTCTCCAAGATCTGAAACTGACGGCCACCGGCCAGGCCGTCAGTCACATGTCACTGGCACTGCTATGGCACTGGAATGGAACCCGTCAGCCACAGCAGGTTAACGGGTCACGAACAGTGCTCGCCTGTGCCATTTTTTTAAAAGTTAGTAAGTACATATCTTACCAAAACATCTGAATTGGTAGACTTTTAGTCCAAGGATTACTATACCACATTTATTCTTGAATAAGAACATAGTAGTACCTTTATTACACTCTCAAAGCCTTCTTGCATGTGGTAAGGAATGCAAACATGTCATTCTAAGACCAACTCTGGCTTTAAATACAGCATTGTGGTGGGAAATGGTGATGAAGAAATAGATCTAAAATAGCACAATGTTGCTAACTGCTGATACTGGGTAATAAGTACAAAGCACTCATTACATGATTCTGTTTCCTTTTTATTTTAATTCTTCCAAAATAAAAGTTTAAAGTGCTTTGAAAATAGAACTATGTTGGGGAAACTATGCAAAAGGAGAACAGTATTTTAAATCAAAATATTTTTTAGTGGTATAAGGCCGGTGACTCAAAAAACAAACAAAAAAAAAATCAGGCTACTTCTGGGCCTACTGAAGCTATCTTTTTCACACTCACAAAAACTATGAAAACACATTCCACATTCTCATGACTACATTCAGAAGATGGCATGGTGCCTTGGCATCAGAGGAGGAAAAAAGCCAACTATCATTTTCTACATACTTATCTCTCTGTACTACGAAGTCAAAAGTGTTTCCTTAATCAAAATGAAGAAATTTATATGCACAGAAAAAAAAATCACATTAGTTTTAAGGAGAGCAAGTACATCACCATTACAAAACTCCGAGAGGCAGATTCATTAGAGATACACCTACATTTATTCCAAGAATTTCTCTTTTAGTGGAAAACAAAGGCCTCAGTGCTTGGCAGCCGTACCGGAACCCCACTCAGCACTCCTCCGCAGTGCTGCACAGCCCTTTGCAGTCACTGGTTCCCACCAGTGGAGTGCAGTGATAACACAGAGGACTCTAGAGTCCAGTATTCTGAGTTCTGTGCCACTTTATAGCTGTGTGCCCTTGGGCAAGTTACTGCCCTCTCTGTGCCTCAGTTTCCTCCTTTGTAAAATAAGGGTAAGAAGAGTACCCACCTTAGTACTTGGTTGTAGGTACTGTGTAAGTGGGAATTATTATTATTTGTCTTTCTGTCTATGAGCTATCTGAAGGTGGGAACATCCACATACACAATTCCTGGTCATGACAGACTTTCAGTGAAGACTGTGGAAGGACCACGGGTCTGGTCCCATTTTATGACTTTAAGAAGTCAGGAAGGAGGCATCCATGGCAGCACTTCAAAAACATACTGTTTGTTCACTTATATGAAGAGGCATCTAAATGCCAAGTATCTTCTACGTGCTAAATGCAACCCAGGGATTTGCCAGAGAGTAAAGAATATAAGATTTGCAGGCCACACAAGGCCTCTGTAATAAAGTCTTTTTCTGTACAATTTTTTAAAAAAACATAAAAACCATCCTTAGCTCACAGAAGAAAACAGGCCTCAGGATATCCAGCCTACTGGCCATAGTCTGCCAACCTCTGATCTCATCTATTGCTATTAATTTATATTTTCATCACTTTATTTGCTAATGAGTTAGTGGCTTTATACTCTGGCAACAGATATCACCTACAAGATAATCAGTACTTAAGAGACTTGGGACTCCAATCCCCCTTCCCCAGATGCTGCTGCATGTGCCAAATGTAACATAACTATGCCCAAAGGTCAGAGTTTAAGCTGGGATGACCAGTACTCACCTGCGCACTAGGCCGTGTTCCCAGTACCTTATATATACTAGGCTGTTAAATCCTTAGTCCATAGTTCTCTTCACAACAACCCTCTGCTTAAATAAGATGCCAAGTCTCAATACTTCCTTTTCACATGTAGCCTTATTTAAACAACACAATCACCTGTGGATAACTACTCTCATGCCCATTTTTACAGATGGGAACAGCATCAGTCTCATCTTTTCTGATCCCCTTTTCATTTCTCAAGGCTGAGATTAAGAATAAAAAGACTGGAGTAAGACACACATAGATTAATCAAAACTCTGCCACTATCATGCTATACGACCTCAGGCAGGCCACACCACATCTGCAAACATTATTTTCCTCATCTTTAATATGGGGTCAGCATTCGGTACTGACTTCTTGACAAGGTTACTGTGAGGATCTAGGGCTTATACGTGGTTTCCGTATTATTTTAAGAATAAAAGTCAGTGTGCACTTGTTCGATGACTGTAGAAATTTATACATGTCACCGAAAAACCGGCTAGTCCTAAAATCATCTTTGTAATTCAACTTCAGTTTACCGCGAGGCCCCCAATTCCTAGCTTTGAATCGCAGCTCAGTCGCCTCACTAGCTGTGACCTTGAATAGGACACTTCACCTCTCAAAACCTATTCGGCCCAGTCAAGATATACGCCTCTAACCTTTCGTTGTCTCAGGCACTGCCCTAAGCATTAAACTTCTCCTGAAGCTTAATTTTAATTTCAACTTTAGAAAGAAGGATACAGTCTGCACATAGGGTTCAAGTGCAAAGTGCCTGGGTCGCGGCGAGGACGAGAACAGCTATTCCTTAGCGGGGACTGGGTACGAGTCCCGAGGCGACGCATTCCAAGCCCGCGGCGGTGCGGCCGGGAGAGGAGAGAAAGGTCGGCAGGCGCAGGATCCCTGGCAAAGTGTTCAGTGCGCCTCGGGTAAGGTCGCGGCGAAGGTCTTCAGCGAAAGACAGGTAGCTCCGCAGCTCCCTCCCCACCCATTGCATCTCTGAGAACTCACCCCGACTCCTGCTTCTAACCTGACAGGCCCTAAGTGATTCTCGGTACTCACCGACTGACGCCATTTTGGAGTCCTAGTGACCCTTCTGCGGGGCGATGCGAGGACTGCTGGGTAGGGCGCATGCGCCGCACGGTCGCGGAGAGCTAAGGCTCACGGGAAGTAGGTCACGACCGATGCTCTCAGCTGGGGCTGCAAGTGCACAAGGTGAGGGGTGAAGTGTATGGAGGACAAAACACCGTGACCCTCTCAGTTGGGGACAGGGGTAGGGGAAGTAGGGTTCAGCCTGGGCTCCACATTATGAGAGGGAAAAGAATATCCTGGTTTTCTTACTCTGTCGTCTTAAATTTGTTGTAAAAAGTTACAAGAGTACATCAAGATCCTTCCTCCCAACTGTGCTGGATGGGAGGTTAAATTCCGACTCTCAAGGAATTTCCAGTCACCAGGAACAGCTGTGTCCAGGCTTAGGTTCCAAGTACGTTGGATTCGAGAGTACCTATATGTGTCCCAGCTCAGGGCTGAGTTCTAAGTACAGAGGTATGCAAGGCCCTAGGGGCTCATAACTCCGGCCTTTTCTTTTTTCCCCAGTTCTTTTCCAGGCGCTGTGACAACTGACCACCTTCTTATTTTTTTAATGGAAAGGCTACGTTAACCATTGCTGGTTAAGGAATTCTGACTTGGGGGTGATGTTTCAATTCCTTGAATCTCAGTTTCCTTCTCTGTAAAATAAGGATGTAATTAATGCTTACCTGGCATCCTTGTGGTAAGAATTAAATGAAACAATGTGTGTGAAAATAAAGGATTAAACACTGAGTGGATAGTAGGAATTGGACCAATAAACTGCTAGTTTTATCAGGGAAGTGACATGGGGGAGTTAGGAAACTTTTTATTCACCAAATAAATATCAGCCATTTATTCATTCACCAAACATACTGGTGTTACTAGGGACATAGAAATCAATCAGACATGATCTCTGAGCTCTAGGACATCTTAGTGAGGGAAAGATCTGGAAGGACTTGGAAAGAGAAGAGGAGCTTATCTGGGCTGACTTTCAAAAAAAATGGAGAGGTAGTTATTAAGTGAACAAAGTGTCCAAGGGAACACCAAGCACCAGGAACTGCAAAGGTATAAAAGGTTTAGAGCCATGTATTGGATTTGGGACAGGATCTTAGCAGCCCAGGAGTTCGGGTTAGATGGGCACAGAGTTTCTGTTTGGGATAATGAAAACGTGGAAATGGATAGTGGTGATGATTGCACAATAACATAACAGATGAATCTGGGGAGGTAAGCAGGGGTCAGAACACAAAATGTTGTGAATGCTGGGTGAAGAGTGGAGTTTATCCTCAAAGCAGGGGGGAGCCAGTGAGGGTTAAAAAAGAGAGTGAGATGGTCAAATTTACATACTTGAACAATAACCCAGGCTGCTGGGTAGAGAATAGATAGGGGGAGAAGTAAGATGGAGGAGGGGGCGTTAAGACTGGAGGATGCAAGCCGGCTATGTAGGGAGGTCATAACTCTGTAGGATGCTCATGTCAACAAATACTGAGCGCTTTCCTGTTTCAGGCACTGAAGATCCTGGGAAAACAAGTCAAATAAAAATCCCTGCCTTGTGGAGCATTTGTTCCTGAAGAGAGAGGGACAATAAACAAGTGAAATCTATAGTGAAGGTGGGCTAGGTTTGGCTGCAGTAGAAAAACACCTCCAGCCCTGACTGGTGTGGCTAAGTGTTGGGCATTGTTCCACAAACTGAAAGTTCACCAGTTTGATTCCCAGTCAGGGCGCATGCCTGGGTTGCAGGCCAGGTCCCCAGTTGGAGGCCTGTGAGAGGCAGCTGATAGATGTTTCTCTCCCTCTCTTTCTCTCTCCCTTCCCCTCCCTCTGAAAATAAAAATATTTTTAAAAAAGAAAGAAAAGAAAAGCACCTCCAAATCCCAGGGACTTATTCTTAAAAAGGTTATTATTTTACTGACCCTACATACCCATGATGGGTAGTCAAGGGAGTCTACTTGTACTCACTCAGATATCCAGGCTGATCAGCAGCCACCCTTACAATGCGTTGGCTCAGTTTAGTGACTCATCTTGTCAGTCAGATCCTGGCTTGAAGGTGCACAGGTACTTCCACGCAGACTTACTGGCCTGAATTGGTCACATGGCCTTATCTCCCAGAGAGTCCCAGGATGCAAAGTCATCTTCCATTCCAAAGAAGGGAACCCGAGAGATATTTGGGAAATGGCCATGACCTCTCCAGCATGTCTGATGGTGATAAGTGGAGAAAACTAAAGCTGGGAAGGATAGGGATTGCCAGAAGAACGGTGTTTTGTTTATTTATTTATTTATAACAGATGTGATGAACATTTTTCTAAAACACCCTCACCCAAGGATATATTTATTAATTTTATTTTTTTTAATGTTTATTTTGTTTTTAGAGAGAGGGGAAGGAGGGAGAAAAGAGGGAGAGAAACATCAATGTGAGAGAAAAACATCAATAGGTTGCCTCTTGTACCTGCCCCAACTGAGGACTGAATCTGCAACCAGACACGTGCCCTGACAGGGAATCGAACTGGTGACTTTTCGTTTTGCAGAAAGAAGCCTAACCAACTGAGCCACATTAGCCAGGGCAATATATTTATTAATTTTAGAGAGAGAGGAAAGGGGAGAGAGAAACATCTATCAGTTTCCTCCCCTGTGTGCGCCAACAGGATCAAACCCGCAGCCTAGGTATGTACTCTTACTGGGAACAGAACCTGCAACCTTTTGGTGTATGGGATGATGCTCCAACTAACTGAGCCACCCAGCCAAGGTGATATAAATGCACCTTTAACCCTATGCAATTATTCATTCTTTGGAGTTCAAAGCAACAATTTGGACAGTGAAATTCATGATGGGTAAAGAATTTATGTGCTGAATGTACAAGATGCTCCCAATGATCACCTGGCATTTGCCTTTCCAACTTTGAAACTTCCATCTTTGAGTGTGTATATTCTTGGTTTGAGTTCATAGATAAAAAACATTGAGGAAGAGGGAATAGAAGAAAGAGTACACGATCACTTTTCCATATGGAGAGCTGCTGGTGTAGAGAATCAGACATAGCAACACTGCTAATGATACCTGCAGAAACTGTGGGATAAGGCAGAGGTTATCACTGAAGTGTCCTCTGCCACTTATGTCCTTGCATAACGGCCATCCTCTGCATGAGCTCCTTCGAGACCAGGGAAACACACCTAAGGACGTCACTTTTTCTTTGATATATCCTCTCTGCAGTTCATAGGAAGCATAAGAAGAGTCTTAGGAGTTCAGACAGTGGGACTGAGTTGGAGATGGTTTGGGGCTGAAAGTCATAGGGTCTACCCATCCCTGAAACATTAAAAAATTCCATTCACCTGGCCATCCTCTTACATACTTATTTTACACTTTGTAATTATTTATATAAATATTCCTGTAAATAATCCTGCTTACTTTTTTGGTTCATCTGAGATTAAGGGGGCTCTGCAATTGGAGCAATCTGAGCTCAAGAGTTTCCACTCACCCATACTGTTGTCAAGTTCCCTGGCTTAGGACTTCCAGCTCCCTTAAGAGCTCCCATTGGGTTAATTGGAGCTAATTTTGGACATTTCAATGATTGAGGCAAACAAACTCCTTCCCGGAGGAGCGTGGTGTTTGGACATAAATAAAACCCATGAGGAAAGAGAAAAAACATAGCCCTTGTAACACCAGCTAGAGAGGAACATGAAGAGACCCCTAGGATGCTCCAGAACATTCCAGTGTTGTGTGCTCCTATGGCCTTTCAGTCTGTGTTTCAGGTAGTTACCTTATTTATTCCATTTGCATAGTATATCTAAGTCTTGTCAACTGGGATCTGAAAATTCAAAATTATATATTTACCTTAAGCAGCAAAGTGGAATAATGGCCCCTTATTAAGTAGACCCAACTCCCTTGACACTGCCCATCATCAACGTTGAGATCCAGGCCTTAACACAGAGAAGCACTGAACCACAGAGCAAGAAGAGGTATTAGAGGTGAATTATTTCAGAATTTTTTATTTTACAGTTCACTAAGTAGTAAACAACCTGGAGTGGTTCATCGATCCTAAGTCACCATGGACTTGCAAGATACACACTTGTTTTCTGTGCCACCAGTAACAAAAAAATACTACCAACTAAATTGTTACATAAAATTTCATGATCACTTTGACCTTTTATTTTATATTATTAATAAATCCCTTTTAGACTTATTTAGACATAATTTTAGTCATACTTTCAAAATGATCTATAACTCTTGTAAAAGTGAAAATAAAATGCTTAAGGTATTGTTAAACTCTTCACATTCTGGATCCTATTCTGAATCATTTTTTCATGCAGTGTTGTCTGTGCCCACATGTTTTCCCCCAGTATTCTTTTCCTTGCCATCAGGGGTATTGGTAATATGGCACTTCTTAAGTATGCTCCATTATTGTCTCTGGGATTTTCTTCCAAACTGTCAACACCCATTCTGGTGTGCCTGTATTCTGGCACAGGCATGATGAGACACATTGATCAGTTGTCTCCTGTACCTGCCCCAATCTGGGATCAAACCCACAACCTAGGCATTTGCCCTGACCAAAAATTGAAACCACAACATTTCAGTTTATAGAATGACGTTCCACCAAGCGAGCCACACCAGCAAGGGCAGATATCTTGTTGATTTAATCACACCTAGAATTTTGCAGGTTAGCTAGATTTATATTATATATATAAAATTGAAGCTTTTTATTTTGGAGAACCTCCCCCCCGCCCCCCGCCCGCCCAGAATGGAATTATCTTCTGGAAGGCAAGCTCCTTGCAGGACAGGCTTCTCCTGATAGGTGAGTGTTCTAGGAACCCATCTGCATCAGCATAACAGCTGGTGTTTTGTGAGAAGCTGTATTCTACTTCAGTGATTTTTTTTCCCTAAGACTCTTTCAACGCATTTGCCCATTTCATGATGGGCCACACCATGTTGCATGTTTAGCAGTTTTTGTCCAAAAATGGCATGACCCCCATGTCCCACCCTCCCCATTCACCTGACCTCATCCTGAGTGACATTTTTTGTTTCCCTGCATGAAAAAAGTGATGAAAAGGAAAAGTTTTGCCAATGTGGAAGAGGTGAAACA